CCACTGTGGCATTCACATTTTCTGGAAAAATCCCTTTGCCCAGGATTTTTCTCCTGGGAAGCTGAGAAACCTCAAAGAAAAAATAAAACAATTCTTATCTCATTTGCTTCTCCTGTGTTGTGCTCATGTGGAATGTTTGGAGATTGTTTACCCACAGGTGATTGTTCCATTGGATTTCTGCTGAGTTGTTTAAACTCTTTGGCCAATCAGGGCCAAGCTGTGTCAGGCCTTTGGAAAGAGTCACAATTTTTCATTATTATCTTTTTAGCCTTCTGTAAGTATCCTTTCTGTATTGTTTAGTATAGTTTAGTATAGTATTGTTTAATATAATATAGTATCATAAAATAATAAATTAGCCTTTTGAGAACATGGAGTCAGATTCGTTATTCCTGCCTTCATCAGGGCTTCCCTGCAAATACGAAACTCTACAAATCCTCCCCAAAATTCCTAACAGGGGTGATCAGGATGAACCCAAACCCATCAGAGCATTCGGGGGGGGCTGGAGGACCTCAGGGATCTCGCTGGCAGCCTCTGATCCCTTACATAACCACTGGCTCTGTTTGTTTTTCTTTCCCCACTTTTATTTCGTGCGTGCTCCTCCCTGAAGCCGCTTAGGACGGCGCTAAACCCCAGCTCAGCCGGGCTCTGCTCTGCTCCTGCTGACTCACTGAGCACTTTCCTTGTAAGAAAAAGCCTCCCCCTTCCTCCCAGCACCCCAAAGGATGACACTGGCTCCACCACCCCCTCCTCCATGTGCTCACCCACCACCTCTGGCACTGACGGGTTTTATCCCCTCTTGTTTTACCAGATTCAGGATATTCGTGGTTTCTCCCCTGTGTGGTGACTCTGATTTGGGACATGCTGCCCATGAGATCATGCTCAGGTGGACTTCTCAAAGTGTTGCCCAAGGCCTTGGTCGTCCTCAGAAACACCAGCCTGCCAAATCTCCCCCCCAAAATAAATCCCAAACTTGCAGAGGCAGCACAGGCTGGGTGTGGGAATGGGTGTGCAGGAGGCACTGAAGTCCTGTACAAGGCCCTGGATGTTTTTCTGACTTAGTTTCACCTTGCCAGGGGATTTTTCATAAAACACAACGTGTTCTGCTCTTGCTTTGTGCAACATTGTCCTCCAAAACCTCTGTTGTGTTATTTGTGTGCAAACACACTCAGCAGATGGACACATACACACACATTTTCTGTGAAATCCCACCTGCTAAACCCCCCTTGCTAAGGCAGATCAGGAGTTTTGGGGCCTCACTGAAACCTCTTTGCTCTGCAGGGTGACTGTGTAGAAGCCCTGGTCCATCCAGGTCTTTTTTATCTATGCTTGTGTCTTTTTTGGAAAGTAAACGAATTTTTGTGGGCCCTGGAACAAAAGCTTTGCATCGTCTCCAGAAGAGCCCAACCAGTTTGCTGCTGGGAGAATCATGGAATCTCCTGAGCTGGAAGGGACCCACAAGGATCATCACTCCAGCTCCTGGCCCTGCACAGGACAATCCCAAAAATCAAAACACGTGTCTGAGAGAATTGTCCAAATGCCTCTTGAGCACAGGCACAGCCAGGAGCTGGGACTGGGATAGGACATTTTTACAGCCTTCCCAAATTCTGCAGCTCCTCCAGTCCAGTTTCAAACTCTTCCTCCCCCAGACCAGTCCCAGAGTGGTGGCTCCAATGGCTCAGCCCGAGGCAGCTTTTCCCTTTGCGATGCTAAACATCCAGGAAGGGATAATCAAATTATATCCACACAATTACATGGAGAGCACCCCAGAGGGATTTGTCCTTTGTCCCTTCAGGAGGGACACTGGATCTCAGAGAGGCCAAACACCCTCAGGACATTGAACAGAGAGATGGGAGAGATGATTTGGCCACCTTGGGGTGCCTTTTATTAGCACTCCTGTATATGCTAACCTGCTTTACATGGAAAGTATGGAGTGCATCTCTCTCTCCCAAAGAGATTTGTCCTTTGTCCCTTCAGGAGGGACACTGGATCTCAGAGAGGCCAAACACCCTCAGGACATTGAACAGGGAGATGGGAGGGCTGATGTGGCCACCTTGGGGTACCTTTTATTAGCACTCCTGNTAATAATAATAATAATAATAACAATAATAATTCTATATCTACTAATAAATGCAATGATAAAATTATTATTGTATTATATTTATATAATATTTTTATATAGGCTAATAAATATAGTAATAAAAATTATTCTATTATTGCTATTATTATTATTATTATTATTATTATTATTATTATTATTATTATTATTATTATTATTACAATGAGCTCATTGGAGCAAACTTGTCCTAATTTTGCCATTCCACCCAAAGGCAAAGGGCAAAAAAAATTTTAAAAAGAGATTGAAAACCTTTGTCTACAGAGCACGCAAGGTGAGATCTCATCAAGGAAAACTCCAGCTTCTTGTCTGGTGGAATAATGGAGTTTATGCAAAGAGTTTGCAGGTTAGAAAATAAAAGCAACAAAATGTCACAACTTTTCATTTTATTTCTTTGTGATAGAAAAGAACTACCCATCACCCTCAGGGTCTGAGTTTCCTCTGTCACTATGGATACTAGGAACAGATTTGGGGGTTTTTTTCCTTGTTTGGGGTTCTGTTCTAATTCATGTTCATCATTTGAGGAAAATGTTAAATATCACAAGATGGCAGTGAATTACAAAGCTGCAATATTCCTCTCTGCACAGGAACAGCCACGTTCTGCATTCACAGATTTCTTTCTTTTTAACCCCAAAAGCAAATCCAGATCATTAATACCAATCTGTGGCTGCAGGGATCCCTGAAAAATAAAAAACCTGATACCCAGGGAAGTCTTGTGCCTGCAGCACTGCAGGGATGGCACTTTAGTTCTTTTCATCTTCTTTGATACAAAAGAAAAAGTAAAACAAAGGAGGGGGGAAATGTCTCCTTCCTGCCCTGAAGACAGAAGAACATTTTATGAAGAACATTTATGATCTCTCTGCATCCATCAAACATGACATTTTCTATCCCTGGGGACAAGGTGGAACAAAGAGTGGCATTAGCTGCTGCCTGGGCCTGGTTTTGGGGCAACTGGGATAAAACCCCACACCTGGGATCCATGGGATGGGATGGGATGGGATGGGATGGGATGGGATGGGATNTGATTGATGAATAAACCGGAGTCAGATGCTGAACAAGGAAGTTGGGTCTCTCCCTCCATCTTCAATAATATCCCAGAGAGACACCAGATGGGAAGAGAGTTGTTCCCTCCCTGCTGGCACTGGGACAGGGACACCCCTGGGTGTCCTGGCTCCCTTGGGAGTTGTCCCCAATGTCCTGGGTGAGGATTGGTGGCTGAGGGTGCTGGAGTGTTGAAGTGAAGGGAGCGACCCACCTTTGTTGGTTCAGCATCTGACTCTGATTTATTGATCAACCAGGCACTTTTTATAACAGTGTTAATTCACTTCATGCATATTGCAAAACCTGAGCTCCTGATAGGCTGTAGAGAAAACTTCAGCTCCTCCTTTTGTTTACAGTACCTGAAGTTAGTTTATTGAAACCAAGATCAGTGTTCTCACCATGATATGAAAAGTTCTCAAAACCTTTATATCTGTTCTCAGTATGGCCATCTGTTCCTGGAGCAGCCAAGGGCAGAATATTGCTTTTTTTTGAGGAAACGGTCTGAGAATCTTGTTGTTTATATAAAAGGTGGCTGAGAACCTTAATTATTTACAGGATCAAGCCTGGGGAAGGCTGCTTTTCCCTTAGCTGAATACCTTCATGGCTTCTTTCTTTAAGCCATGTTTGAACCAGGCTCTCCACACTGGAGGAGAGGTGGAGCAAGCAGGGGGTGCTCTCCTCTCCTAATAAACCCCAGGTTTGGGTGCTAAACTTCATCTCCCTCCAGCTTTCCAGGGCCTGAGGCTCCAGGAGAGCTGGAGAGGGACTGGGGACAAGGGATGGAGGGACAGGACACAGGGAATGGACCTAAACTGACAGAGTTTGGGATACTGGGGAGAAATCCTGCCCTGTGAGGGTGCTGAGCCCTGGCACAGGGTGCCCAGAGCAGCTGGGGCTGCCCCTGGATCCCTGGAATGCCCAAGGCCAGGTTGGATGTGGCTTGGAGCACCCTGGGACAGTGGGAGGTGTCCCTGCCCATGGTTGGGGTGGCACTGGATGGGATTTAAGGTCTCTTCCAAACCATTCCATCATTCAGTGCTATCAAGCCATGACTTTTCTCACTTTACCCCCAATTCCCTCCTTATCCCATTCCCTGGGATGAGCCTGTGTTTCTGTGGGACTCGGCTGGGGCCAAGCCCTGCCAGCCTGGCACAGTCAGCACCAAATACAGAGCAGCAAAACACTGGGAAAATGGTAAATACGGCAAAATTCTGGGCAGCACATTTTGGGCTCCTTACTTTGGGATGATCCATGTGCAAATCACTCATCAAAATCAGCCATGGGCAAGGGCATTGCCTCCCATTGCCTCTCCTGCAAGAGACAGAATTGGGGTCATATTTTGCTTTTTGCTGATTTGTCCAATCTACATTCATCAGTTTTAAAAAGGTTGAACTTCCCCCATTATCTGACTTTCCAAAAAAATCCCCATTTTGTGTTAAACTTTTCCATGCTTTATGCAGCATCTTTTCCCTCTGAAGTAGCACAGGACTCCCAGGTACTCTGATTGTACATGGAAGGAGGAAATAATANGATTTTTGGGGTGTCTGTGCAGGACCAGGAGCTGGATCAGTGATCCTGGTGAGTCCCATCCAGCTCTGGACACTCTGGGATCCCTGCAGCAGCTGCTGTGGAGCTCCCAGCCAGCTGTTCCCAGTGCCAGGATGTGTTCCTTGGTGCAAGAGGAGCATTCCCAGGGCTCTGGGCTGCTCTTCCAGCTCCCAGCAGTGGCCAGAAAATAAAATCCTGCCTGGCCTAGGCAGCTGGGTGGGATGTTCCTGCTGCCTCAGGCAGTGAGTGATGCCTGGGGAGGTGAGGGGAGCCTCTCAGTGCTGTGTTTGCCCTGCAGGTGTGATTGATGACCGGGGAAAGTTCATCTACATCACAGCAGAGGAGATGGCAGCCGTGGCCCAGTACATCAGGCAGCGAGGCCGAGTGTCCATTGCAGAGCTGGCCCAGGCCAGCAACTCCCTCATCAACCTGCAGCCTGACAGCAGAGCTGTGGCTCCCACCCTGGCCTGAGACACACACACTGCACGAGTTGAAGCTCTTAATGAGTAAAGCACATAATTAAAGGCAAATGAGAAGTTCCCAGGGCCATTGGGGGTGCCTGAAGGTAGGATGATGCTCTTCTGAAGCACCAGCTGCAAACTAAAAAGTTTTGCTTTTCCTTCTATTAGAACTGCTGTTAAATGGTAAAAATTGATTGTACAAGAGGCTGGCCAGGAGCTCAAACACTGGTGCACCTGTAGCCAACAAGATCAGTAATTTATCCCCTGGCAGCCAGTCTCATGTTGCTATAAACAAATTTATTGTTGTTTGCAGATTCTGATGTCTGTATCAAATTATTTGGGGTTGTTTGCATTCAGGATTCTCCAGGCTTGCTCTGCACGGTGGAGCTGTTTAACTTTGTGGTGGACACAGCATTTGCTGCTTTACCCAGATTGGAAGGAAAGAGTAAAAAAAAGAAAATACAAAAAGTGTGTCTTTGTTCTTGCTGAAATACATCCTGAAACCCTGGAAAGAATGGATGCTCTGTTCAAAATTCCAGGGGCTATTTCAGGAACCCTTTGCTATACAAATATGTTTTCCTTGGTTTATGTAACATGAGAAGTTTGCTTGCAGACAAGCTGCATCATTTCCCCGTGGCCAAGAGACAGAAACCCCTCCAGGGAAGGGCTGAGTGGGCTCATTTATTTATTTATTGTGCAGGCCAGTGCTGCTGATACCAACCAGATCCTGGTGATTCATCCTTTGAAGTCAGAGCCAGCTCAGAGTGTCTGAAGGCCTCAGACACCCCCACCCCTTGGCCTCTGTGTGCTGCAGGTCTGGGGGCTTTTAAATAAAAACTTCAGGCACTCTGAGTCATGCAATTAATGTTCCAAGTTGATTATTATTAATGTGTTAATTGTATGGGTCAGTGTATTTCCTGCATAAAAATTTTTTTTTTTCAATCATTCATTTATTCTCCTTTCTGAAGTCAGCAGAATTTATGTGGATGAACAGTAACTGGGGAGGACAAGAGGTTTTGTCCCTGCCAAATTTAGAGGTAACTTGTGCAGACTAAAAGCCACCTTATCAGTGGGATGAGACAGCAATAAAACAATGGAAGGAAACATTTCCTTTTCATCTCTGCACTGCTGCTGGGTGTCAGAGTGCAGGAGAGTGGAGTTCCACCGGCACCACGTGCTGTGAAAGATCAGCACATCCTGAGTGCTCTGCAACCACAGCCAGCAAAGAGATTTTTTAACATTTGAGGCTTCTAAAGTCTCTTTCTTAAGGATTGCATATTAAATTTTAAAAAAATATTTGGGTTTGCCATTATTTTTTGTTCTGTCTTAAACTGTTCTTGTAATAAAATTGACGATATTGAAAGAATTGCAGAGGTTTGAAAGGTTTGTTAGAAATGGGCAGGACATGACTGTGAGCTCTGCCAGCAGCTGCTCTGCCCTCCTCATCCTCTCCCTCCATTTCCATTCCTGTTCTTTTCACCCAGCACTCAGGAAAACTCATTTTCCTCTGATTTTGGGGGTGCTCTGCTGCATGTGAATTGTGAGGATTTACATGAGCCAGGAGAAAACAGGTAACAAAAAACACGAGTGGGGTTTCTATCTCTGCTGAAAACTCCTGTGGAACGAGCTCTGATGTGCCTTCAAGGAATTCTTGCACCTCTGTGAGATTCCTGAGTGGCTGCAGGAGCTGAGGACAGCTGGGTGTTGGTGCTCTGACCCTGGGGAGCAGCCACCACTAAAAACTGCAGCTCTGCTTTCTGTTAAAGGAATGTTTTGGTGTTTTCTAGGAATTCACATCCCAAGTCCCAGGAGTCCCAGCTGAAAGTCTGGAACACAATTGCTTCAGGCCATTTGTTTGGATGGGTTATAAATGAGGCAGTTCAGATCTAAGCTGCTCTTTCAGTATGTGTCTGTGGAAGTGGAGGGGGAAGAATTCAGGGCTGTGTCCCCAAAATGACTTCACTGGCTGAATTCAGAGCACAAGTTTAATATATCCTGTTGGAGATTTTTTCAGGGATGGCTTGGAAGGCAGCTGTGGGGGACAGGTTCTCACAGCC